AGCAACTGCTGAATACAATAGCCAGCTGCAGGTATCCCTTCATTCACGCTGTTTAGCTTGGATGGGGAAATCGATGGTTGAATTAGATGGCCGATGGTGGGCTGAATACGAAAAATTTGAAGTGTGAGGATAGATGGAAATTTGGAGATGAGGAATAAACTTGAGGGACAGTTTTTGCATTGACGTACAAGCCTTGAGATCTCTGATCTTTAGGACAAACCGTGTTCAAATCTAGTTTACAACTGATAAAGGCACAGTACAGACAGGGTTAATTGTGGCAAGCATTACTCCCCAGCCTCCTGCTTAACATTACGTACAAGGGAGCAGCTAAATAAAAATATTTAGCAAGTAATCAGTATGTTTTTCTTTTTTTTTTTAAAGTTATGCTGTGCGAATGCTAACATGTAACAAATATAAAAATAGGTGTTATCCCAATTTGGCCACAAAAGTGGAAATACACTTTAAGCAAACCAATAAAGACATAAATAATTACATAGTATTTGAGGTTGAATAAAGACACAGCTGCATGAAGTTCAACCTTTGTGTGTATGTGAGGCCCTGTATGATCTAGTATTCAAGAGTACCCCTGTATGTTCGGTCTCTGAGGAAGGTATCTAATTGATTTTTTGAATGATTCAATATTCTTTGCCGATATCACTGCTTGTGGCAGAGTTCCGAAATGTAACTGCTTTAACTGATAAGAAGCCCCTACGCCCTTTGTGGAAAAATCTTTTCTCCGCCAGTTTTAGGTGTTGGCCTTTGTTATGCAGTTTACTGTAAAAAGTTTATTGCTGATTTTACCCACACCACTGATCATTTTGTACATTACAATCATGTCCCCTCTTCACTTCCAGCGTGAACATGTTTAAATTTAGCAACCTTGTCTCATAGCTTTGATCCTCCAGCCCCTTAATTAGTTTAGTTGCCCTTCTCTGGACTCTCTCCAGCTTCAGGACATCCCTTCTGTGGATTGGTGACCAAAACTGAACGGCATACTCTGAAGGTTAACTGTAATTTAACAAGACTAACATGGAGCCTGTGAATACTGTACTGCATACTAGGCTTGTCTGAAGACAAGGAATCACTTGTCAGCACATAGGAAGTCTGACTACACAAATTCCTGTGGCTCTCCTGCTGGAGTGGATCTGAGAATCCCAGCACGTGTGGTCAACTTCTGGGCCATGTACTCAGCCATGTGCTGTCTAACCATCATTGCATACAGTACAGTGCAGTGTACCCTATGTGCTTCGCTTTCTTTAATCTTCTTATCACAACCTAAGAACACATTACAGATGAGTGATTTATAGAATGCTATTATTTCTCGTGGTGCTGCACAAGGTAAAAAAAAAAAAAAAAAGGTTCTAACTAAATTATCCTTTTATACAAGGAGGCCACTGTGTTTGGAATATTGATAAGCAACTGCACAGTATTTTAGTACCATAGGCAATCCAGACTGTAAGCTGTGGTAAGGCAGACCATTCATTTTTAACCGGCTGCCAAAGCACCACAATGCAGATTTTACCAGACCTACAGCATTTTTGTCAAAAAGGCACCACAATGCACAGATGTTCACCCTTGCGCATTGTGCTGCACTGAACAAGCACCTGCATTGTTTTGCATTGGCTAGGGGCATTGGTGTTCCAGTTAAAGGGTATGGCACCTTGATACACCGTGTTCCATGTCTTTTAGTAAAATGTGTGTTTTTACAGCATATGACCAGAAAGCAGAGATCTAAATAGCCTCAACGAACAAGATAATGATAGGTGGGACATCCACAGAAAGACTCATAGCTGCTGGGGGAGCCATAAATTGTCCACGTTGGTAGGTCCCAGGTCTTTTCATGAAGGAACCACTTGACATCTTTGATTAAGCTGAGCTTGCCAGCAAAAGGCTATAATGTACACATCAAACCTACCCTCTGCTTAGCTAGGTACCTGCAAAACTACAGCAACTATTTGGCAGAACACAGAGGCTCAACATAGACTAGATGAGGTTCTCCAGGAGTGAGAGCCTATTCATTTCCGAGGTGATCTGCACATCAGGACATGTGGTTTCCCCAAAACTGGAGATCCAAATATTGCTGAAAGCATGCCATTTACATACGACTGCTGACATTGTGGACATCTGATCAACACACAATTTTTATCAGATACAGTAAAGAACCAGAAATGGACTGCTCTTCACTGGTAACCAGGCAAGATATTGCTTATGCAAGCTCTGTATACACCCAAAGGCCAGAACTTTTTTTATATCAGATACAGACCTAAGCTCATATCAAGCAAACATATAACAGAAAACCCTGGCATCGGCTTGCCAAGTAGTAAGACAGAAATACAAAGACAGCCAGGGGTGTCTGCTTGATCCAGAACTACCAAAAGACAAGGGGGCTTGCTGCTAGATCCATCCAATTGATCATGTAATCAGCATAGCATGAAGGCTCATAATGCATAAAGATATATGCATATAGTAGGGATGCACCGATACCTGTATTTTGGTACCAAGTACCGATATTTTTTTGACGGTACTCACCAATACTGAATACCGAGTACCAGAAGTCCCATTCAGGAAGCCAGGCAGCGTGCAATGACTCGCCACCTGGCTTCCTGATTAGCCGGGAAACTGGGCAGCGTGTAAAGAGCCGCCACCCGGCTTCCCGATTAACAAGGAAACTATGTGACGAGAATGCATGGAGACGCCTTGATGGCCAATCAGGAAGCCGGGCAGCGTGTAATGACGCGCTGCCCGGCTTCCTGATACAGGAAGTATCGGGCTATGCATCGGAGCATTTGGGCGAGTACATGTACTCGCCCAAATACTCGGTATCGGCATCCCTAGCATATAGCATTAAAAAGACACTAAACTCTGGAGTTAAATCTTAAAAATGCATTCCAGTGTCTCAACTATTAATAGAAATGTAACTTATTTGTGTATCACTCAGCTGTAGACCCTCAAATCATCTCTGAATTGGTGCCGACACTGTCCTTCCTTCTGGAGGGTGGCTACTTTTGTTCCCCATGGTCCCAGTGTGTGTTGTAAAGTAGCCACCACCCCAAGCTCGCTCCTGTGATGAACTACAATCTCAATACAACCTAAATGTGAGGTTGTAGTCCATCACAGGAGTGAGCTTGGAGCGGTGACTACTTTACACAGGGACCATGGGGAACAACAGTAGCCACCCTCAAGAAGGAAGGACAGTGTCAGCACCAATTCAGAGATGATTTGAGGATCTACAGCCGAGTGAGTTTAGTGTCACTTTAAAACTTGAATTTAATCACTTTAAGATAAATCAGATACATTTTTGTTAATAGGGTACTTGAATGCATTTTTAAGATTTAAAGTATAATTAAACCCTCCGGTGTTGTTGCATATATCTACAGCTAGCAAGCAATAGATATATGCAAAAAGTGTTAAAAAAAAAACGCTTTAAACTTACCTGTGTCTTCCCCGCGCGCTCCCATCCGAAAATTCTCGAGCGACCGCAAAGCATCTTTGGGGAGGCGCATGCGCAGTTCACATTTTCGGCCGGGAGACGAGGAGAGACGCAAGGTAAGTCTATGGACGCGTGCACCCGCATGCAGACACCTTGGGATAGGAAGTGCCAGCAAAGACAGAGGAGTCAGCGCTGGATCGGAGACCTGCCGCAGTGTTGCAGTGACAGATGAAAAGGAGAGGAAAGAAGATCGGATTAAGAAACAATTTAAGGTAAGTGCTTTAATTAACATGTTTTTGTCACTTTAACTCCTGACTTCAGTGTCACTTTAATGGATAACCCCAGTGTCAGTGTTTTTTTGGGGGGAAGCAGTAAAGATCAGCAAGATCTGAACACCAGACAATGTCACACAAGCATGCACAGTTGTGCACAATGGAAAAGTCCTGGATCAGCTTCACTTTGGGGGGAGCCAGGAAAATCCAACCCGCATAAATCACACCACCCCCATCAGAGATGTGGAAATGCCTAATAACATCACAACCACCAGTATACAGGTGAAACTCGAATAATTAGAATAGCGTGCAAAAGTAATGGCAGTAAGTGCTGCAAAAGGGGCCCAAACCACGTACTGAGTACATATGCATGCTTGTACTTTTCAGAGGTCCGATATTGTTCTATGTATAATCCTTGTTTTATTGATTGCATGTAATAATCTCATTTTCTGAGGTTGTGGATTTGGGGTTCTCATGAGCTGTAAGCCATAATCATCACAATTATGACAAATCACGGCTTGAATTATCTTGCTTTGCATGTAATGAGTCTCTCTCATATATTAGTTTCACCTTTTAAGTTGCATTAGTGAAATAAATGAACTTTGCACGATATTCTAATTATTCGAGTTTCACCTGTATCTGACCAACATTGGCCAGATCACGACAAACAATGCAATTACACAGCGGCTCATTGGTTAGTGCTTCGGCTTTGCAGCACTGGGGTGCATGGATTGACTCCATGTTTTGAGAGGATACTATCTAGATGGAGTTTGCATGTTTTCCCTTGTGTGGGTATAAACATTGTAATAAATAATAGCACCATGTGACCCCCCTGCCATGGTTCTCCCCCATGACAAGCATTTGAGAGATCCTGGAACTGCTTTCTATGTATGTGAGATAGGGACCTTAGACTGGAAGCTCCTTGACTGATGTGACTGTACAATACGTAAAGTGCTGCGAAGATTGCTGGCACTATATGAAAGCCTCTAATAAATAACATAAGGTACAATAATGATGAGAGACAAGGAGTTGTCCATAATGGCCTACCAATACAAAATGCTGGATTTCTGACCTGCAGACCCCAGCAAGCATGTGAACCCCAAGGATCAGCATGACTAACAGGAAAGAAGCATTTTAATTGAGTCCAGAGTGATGCACCCCACCCATTTGTCTTATGACAGGCTGCGAAGCAGAAAAAATCAGTGATCTGCTCTCTATGTGTTGGAGATGTCTAGGGCATGCTGATGCTTGTAGTGCTCCACACAAAGAACACAAGGCTGTGCCAGGCTTTATCTCACCTGTTGTCTGCAGACACTACTGTAGATCACACAGTGGGCAGCAATGCAGATCTGCTGGTCCAGGGCTTAGTCAGCAGGTCCTGTTACTGTGTGGCACTGCAGGTGGTCATCCCTCAGTCTGATGTCTGTAGATTCCCTCCCAGCCCCTCACACAGGCACATACCACCGCCTACACGGAGCACAGACACACCACATAGCCCGATGCGGACCAGTCCTCGTTGCACCATGTCACCGGGACAGTCCCCGCTGCCTCCTGCCAGCTCTGTATTGTTGTTGCAAAAAGAGTCCAAACAGGAAACGGAAAAGAGGATTATACCGACGCCCAATGACAGCGAGGAATCCCCTGAGTAGCAGGCCAACCAGCCAATCAGAAAAAAAGGATTCCTGTCTAGCAAAAGCATCCCGCTGAGTCTGTGATACAGAGCAGCGCGCTGAGCGCTCTCAAATCTGCTAGCCTCGGGGAGGAATGCAACAGCAGAGGAAAGAGCCAATTGGAGGGAAGAGGAGATACACGTCACAATAGGTGGGCGCGGCTTGGGTGGTTCTTGAGGACACGGAGCCGAAGAATGAATTAGTGGAATACGATGAGGGCGGGGCTTTCGGTGTTTTGATGCGCCTGAAGGGGGAGGAGCGGTGGTGACACATGTCAACCCTTCCTGGTGTGTGTTAAAGGACCGCTGCATCCTGTGTGCTGCAAAACCACATGTGCTGGGAGTATTCCTTGTATTCATTCATCCCTTCCCAATTTACACTACTGGGAGAACAAAATACTGTTTTTCAGTTTAAGTGAAACCTAAAGTGCAACTGAAGCCAGAACTTAGTTTTATTGTTGCCTGTGTCCCCATTTGGGAGATTCACCCCCTCTATTTGTCACGGTGACTGTTACCATCGAAAGTGAAAATGAAAGAAAATCCCACATTTTAGGTTATCATCAAAACAGCAATGCATGGGAAATCTATATGTTGTCACTAGTTCTGGGGACCCTGCTGACTGTTGATTATGTGTTTCGATGAAGCACTGTTATCTTGAGGAATGCTGAATTAAGTTTTACTTGCTTAGAAGAATATTACATCTGATTACAGCATTGTGAGGAAACATACGCTATATTGCCACAAGTATTGGGACACTCCTCCAAATCATTGGATTCAGGTGTTGTAATCACCTCCACGGCCACAGATATATACAATCAAGTACCTAGGCATGCAGACTGCTTCTACAAACATTTGTGAAAGAATGGGTCGCTCTCAGGAGTTCAGTGAATTTAAGTGTAGTACCGTGATAGTTTGTCAGCTGTGCAATAAGTCCATCCAGGAAATGTCCTTGCTACTAAATATTCCACGGTCAACTGTTAGTGGTATTATAACAAAGTGGAAGCAACTGGGAACAACAGCAACTCAGCCACGAAGTGGTAGGCCACGTAAAATGACAGAGCGTGGTCAGCGCGTGCTGAAGCGAACAGTGCCCAGAAGTCGCCGCTGTCAGTCACTAGCTACAGACCTCCAAACTTCATGTGGCCTTCAGATTGGCACTACAGTGCGTAGAGAGCTTCATGGAATGGATTTCCATGGTCGAGCAGCTGCATGCAAGCCTTACATTACCAAGTGCAATGCAAAGCATCGGATGCAGTGGTGTAAAGCACGCTGCCACTGGACTCTAGAGAAGTGCAGACGTGTTCTCTGTAAAGTTTGGTGGAGGGGGGATTATGGTGGGGGGTTGTTTTTCTGAGGTGGGGCTTGGCCCCTTAGTTCCAGTGAAGGGAACTCTTAAGGCATCAGCATACCAAGACATTTTGGACAATTTCATGCTCCCAACTTTGTGGGAACAGTTTTGGGATGGCCTCTTCCTGTTCCAACACGACTTGGTTGTGGCTATAGGGCAGGAAGTGGAGGAAAATCTTCCCAATGGCACACAGATTGCAAACAAAAAGTTGACAGGGGTTATAACCTTCCCTTACACTATGGAAAACAAAAACAAAAAAAAGCTTTGGCTTCAGTTGTAGTTTAATGTAAAGTAAGAAAATTAAAAAAACTGCTAAAAAGTAAAGTCATGTGAAGTTTCTTCTGTCAAAAAATGCTTCTTACCCATAGCAGGAGGTGCATCATCAAAGGCAGCCCAATGACTGAAGAGAACAAGGGGGGAGCTGCAGTGGTGTCCCTAGCTTATTCGCTGCCTGAGGCGGCAGGGGTGGGTAGGGGGCATGCTGGTGGTGCACGTTTGGGAGGGGGCACTGGTGGTGCACACTAACGGGGTAAGGGGCTCTGGTTCCAGCTCTGGCCAGTGTCCTGCCCAGCTCACTGACATCACTGGTTGCCAGGAAATGGGCATCCTTCCCCCCCCCCATGAGATGCCACCTGAGGCAACAACCTCAGGCTGACTTATTATAGGGATGGTCCTGGGGACCTGGAAGAAGCAGCAGAGGAGATGGCAGCAGCAGTGGACAGACTAGTGACTGCCAGCCTAGATCAGTCAGCACTGGAGGAGAGCACACTTCACATTACATTTTGCAATTTTACTTCTGCTTTAAAGTACAACCCCAATTTTCAAACTTTCCAAAAAAGTTGGGACGTGGTGTGACATCTACATAAAACCAGAATGCAATGATTTGCAAATCTCATAAACTCGGATTTTATTCACAATAGAATACATATCAAATGTTCAAACTGAGAAAATTTACCAGTTTAAGAAAAAAATAAGGTAATTTCGAAATTGATAGCAGCAACACGTCTCTTGGGACAGGGCCATGTTTACCACGGTGTAGCACCCACTCTGCTTTTGACAACATTGAATAAATGTCTGGAACTGAGGAGACCAGTTGCTGGAGTTTTTGGAGAGGAATGTTGTCCCATTTTTGCCTGATATAGAATTCTAACCGCTCAACAGTCCTGGGTCTTCTTATTTTTCTTCGTATTTTTCTTTTCAAGATGTGCCAAATATTTTCAATTGGTGAAAGGTCTGGACTGCAAGCAGGTCAGTTAAGCACCCGGACTCTTCTACTACGAAGCCATGCTGTTGTCATAGATTCAGTATGCAGTTTAGCATTGTCCTGCTGAAATATGCAATGCCTTCCCTGAAAAAGAAGTTGTCTGGATGGGAGCATATGCTGCATTAAAACCTGGATACATCTTTCAGCATTAATGGTGCCTTTTCAGATGTGCAAGCTGCCCATTCCATACACAATAATGCACCCCCTTACCATCAGGGGTGCATGCTTTTTAACTGAGCTAATAGGAATCTGGAAGGTCCCTCTTCTCTTTAGCTTGGAGGGCGCTGCACCCATGGTTGCCAAAAAAAATGTCAAATTTTGATTAGTCTCACTACAGAACAGTTTTACACATTCAACAGACCATTTTCAATGAGCTTTGGCTCAGAGAAGAAGACAGTGTTTATGGATCATGTTCAGATATTGCTTTTTTTTCTGGGTGATGGAGCTTTAACTTACATTTTTGGATGGCATGGCGAACTGTGTTCACAGACACTGATTTTTAGAAGTATTCCTGAGCCCATGTCCATCACATAATCATACCTGTTTTTTTAATGCATATGATATTGACATGTTAAAATAAGAAAGGTAATTTCTTACCGAGTTGCTTCCTTCAAACCTACCCCTCAATTTCCAATATCACCTCCTCTACAACTACCTTTCAAACTGCTACATCTCTTCCTCTGCACCTACCCCTCCAATTTATATATCCCCTCCTCTACATCTGCCTATCAAATTCCTATTTTCTCTCTTCCACACTTTCCCCTCCAACACCTATATCACCTCCTCTACACCTGCCCTGGCAACCTCTTTTTTATCTCATCTACACCTACCTATCCTATTCTTATATCCCCTCCTCTGCACCTGCCCCTAAAAATCTAAAGTCCTCTGCTCCACATATATCCATCTGGTTTCTATATCTCCACCTCCACACCTACACCTCCAATCCCTGCATGCCTTCATCCACACCTTCACCTCCAACTTCTATCTTCTTCCTCCACACTTATCACTCCAATCTTCTTATCCCCTCATCCGCAGCTACACCTTAGACCCCATCCGCCTTAGATGGGGCTTTAGTCTGTAGTTGGGGATCCCCATGGCAAGAACTTACAGATTCTTAGGGCAGAAATCACAGGGGTGTCCATACAGATGTGGCCGCTGTACCCATCCAAGTGACAGGTTGACAGAGGCCCCATCCATCAACAGTAGTGCACATGTAATCGTACATGGAACAATTACCTGTGGTTTAGGATAGATGACTGTCCCTGGACGCAATCTGATGGAGGGAGTAGGAGGAGCAGAATGGAGTAGGAGGAGCAGCGTAAACCACAAAAGAATATGAAGTTTCTAGTCTTCTTCTTTGGTAGGCCACAAACAGTTTCAGCAGTTAGGCAAGGGAAAGAGGCAATTGCAGGAAGTTTATATAGCAAAGTAAACTGCAGCCAATAGAAGGTACAACAAGGAATGAGAATGTTGAATGGTGACAGCAGGACAATAACATTGATCAACACCAGCAGAAGCCAAAAAGAAGAATAGAGAAACTTATTAAGCCAGGGAAAACCTGATTAACTGGTTGCTTTGATTGAGGCAAAGCTTGAGGCAACTTCATCTGTAATTAATGAGATGAAACATTTGACATTTTTCTGTTATGATGTGTGAAGCTAAGTGCTAACTCTTGTTTCAATACCAGCCATTCTGGGCTAAAAGAGGCTGACAAGGATCTAGATTGCTGGACAGGAATTTAACTTTTTCCAGGATTATGTTCATCTCCAGATCTAAGATCTGCCTCTTTAACTTATTGATATGTTTGACTAAAAGTCAAGTTTGCCGAAAAGTGATAATCCAGTTTTGGGTGGATGCACGTGAGGTCACCCACTGATTTCTTAAAGCTCTTGGTTACTGCAGCATGGAGTACTCATCTCTGAAAACTCAAGTCCCCCAACATCAGCTCTTTTGTTATTTGCTCTATTTGTGAACTTTACATAGATGTGTTGGCAATGGCAGACCAAGAACCTGCGTTGGTGGGAACCTCTCAGCAGCCAAGAGAATCATTTTTATTGGCCGTATTCTTTAAAGTGACATTAAAGGCAATCACTCACTTACATATCACCCTATCTAAATCACGGTGTTGTTC